TTCCTACTTACTTATAGCTATCAGCTGAACTAAATGGTTATTTAATGTGATAAGTGCTTCTGTTTCAGGAAAAAAAGGCCAAGGAGTTCCGAACTGCAAGCTCCAGGTTATGATATTTGGGGCCAAGAATTTGCCCATGCTGAGATCTGCTGGAGTGCCGAACTCATTTGTTAAAGGGTATGTATGAGTCCTAACACTTCAAACAGAAAATATGTCACAAACATTCTATGCAAAGGTCTGTAGTTACGTGTTTTCAGCGGGAGGCTGGCATGTGAAAGTGGCATTGTCTGCACTCTTAGTCAGACTTCCTTGTAATGGTGGCATTTGGGTGTCTGCACAGCAGCAGTGCTCAGCAGAGCAGTGATGGATCCCACCTGCTCTTTGGGTCCTGAATGGAATTTCAGAATTTACTGATGTCAGTAAAATTGAGAGCTCACTATTTTAAGTATCTGCCTTTGGATATTAGGAGAGAAAAAAAATGCAAATCAAGAGGGTATTTTCATTAAGATTTTTCAACTGTGCCTTTGCAGAATTAAATACAGCTTTGGCTACATTGAAAAGGAAACTTCTGTCCTCTTCAGTCTAGACATTTTAAGAGGAGGGACTGAATTTTTCTTCAATGCACTGAGTAGCTTGTATGGGGGATCATTTTACTTTATTACTGTCAGGCATCAGATGCCTGTGGAAGTATGATACTGGGGTACACTTGCAGCATCTCCTAAAGCCATTTCACCTGCTGTGGCACCTATCTTCAGTGGAATGGGTCAGCATTTTAATCTACTGAAAGGCAGGTTCCAGGCAGTATTGGATAACAATGAGGAGTAGACTCCTTCAGCAGTCAGTGACAGCAAAGGAAAAGCAAATCAGAAGAGCCTATTTGCAGCCACACTGAAGGCAAACAGGAAAAGGAGCAAGTCCCCAAATAAACACACTAGCACCACATTCTGCCTTGCACTTAAGTTGAACTTTTTTTGGTATTTAAGGCAAACCAAAGGGCCCTAGTTGATTAATGCAAATGTTCTGTTTTCTGGTTGAGAAATCAGTAACCTTTGTGAACTCTCATTGTTTTTGGGAAGTTGTCTTATCCTTCCAGACCAAGCAGAGATAAAGCAAAAGTCTCCCGTTGTGAAGAAAGAAGCCTGTCCTCAGTGGAAACACTTGTTTGTCTTTGATGGTATTACCCCAGTTCAGCTACAGCAATCATGTCTACACTTAACTGTCTGGGAGGAGTCAGCTTCCAGCTCAAGTGATCAGTTCCTAGGAGGAGCCAAGATTGGTGCAAGTAAGTTCTTTATCACTAAAAATTGAAGGTAATTTGGGAAAAAGTTCATTCTAAACAATGAAGATTACACTGTGCTATTTATTATCTGCTGTCATGTGCCTACACGTACAGCCCCAGCTCCTGTCCTAAGCAACTTGCAGTCTTGGGCTTTGAGCCTGTAAGAACCAATGAATGTGTTTTAGTTCAGGTCTGTGCAGAAGCTCAAGGGTGTCAGGGGGCATTTTCAGGAAAGCTCTTTGTTAGCCTGGCAACTTCTAGGGCCAGAGCCTGGCCATGCAGAAGACAGGCACAGAAAAGTTGGGTGGAGTCAACTCATCTAGAGCTTTTTTTGAGAGTTGTTTCTTGAGCTGCTTCTATGAATTGGTTTTTATCTACCAACTCATCAAAAGGAAGCACAAGAACTAATGATCTAGTAGACTCTGACTTTGCTTATATTTGTGCTTATTATTTTACACCCACAAATCAATCCAATCAATGGGAGATGCAGAAAGCAAAACTTGCTCAGAAAGGCCTATTGCATGTCTGAGTTTTGGGCTCTGTTCTAACATAAGCGTGAGCCCTCTTTCTCAAGACTGAGAAAACCTCTGCTCACTGAACAGAGGTTTAACCGGTAGTTGAGCAGGGAAGTACGGTCACTTGAAGACTGCCCAATGGAGTCTCTCACCCCTGTCTTCCCAGAGAGTAAGGGCTTTGGTTTCACTATTTGAGATGAAAGCCTCAAAAAAAAATTGAAGCTCAGTCACTTTGTTATGGTATCAACATCCACTTTAGAGGAGTATTATCACTAGCAACAGCTCAGTGCTGTGCAGGCTCGTGAGTTTCTTTAGATTGTCCCACCCAGTATTTTCCTTTCTGCTAGGGCAGGCACTACCTGCTTCTGAGCCAAGATGACTATCCAAGCTCTAAGCCTAGTAATGCACTGAAGTCACTGGAGATAAACTGAAGCAGGAGGCTTTGTGAAATTCTGCTATTTTTAGCATGCCTCCTTCCTCCTCTGCTTTTAAGCCACAGAACCAAAAAAATTTTCTTTGCTGCAAGCTGAGAGTGAGTGATCCTAGTTTAACAGGATGTAAATAATGCTTCAAAATGTAACTACAGTTAATTGCAATGAATGCCTTAGGAGCTACAGAACAGCTGAAATTGCTGTCAATGTGGGAGAAGCAGGTTGGTTGTTACTTAGTCCATTGGGCCAGGAGTTGGGTAAGGCCAAGTGGAGAGTAACCCTGTGACCTTTCCTTTTGCTTTCTTGCAGAGGAATCCTTTGGCTGTACAGACCTTGTTTCTCAGTCAGTGCTCCAATGGCAGGAAGTGCTTCGCAGTCCAAACGTGTGGATGGACTTTACACTTGTACTGCATTCAAATAAGGACAACTTTAAGTCATGAGAGATTACTGCACATTAACTTTTCCTTCCCCCTGTGTCATGTTTTAAATTTAAAAATTCAGGTCTGGGGAAAGCTACACTGCAACAGTACCATTGCTAGTTTTTGGGGAATAGAATTATGCATTTGCAAACGTGTGACATTCTGAAGGCTTTATTTTCTTATCTGTGTCTCTAGCTGGAGTATAAGGTTAGTATTGTTTCTTCAGGAGTGACAAACTCTGTTTGAAATGCATTATGCTGACAAGGCAACAGTAGCCAGATAAGTTTTCCATTTCTGGGTGCTGCAGAACTGCAGCCAGGAATACTTCTTAGAGAAAATAACTATTACCTTAAAGTTATATGCTTTCACTCTGATCCTGATGTTTTATTTTATCCATGTTGAGAGAAAAATAAAACTAGCTTATCTTTAACTGCTTGCTGCAAATGGGTGATGCTAACATGCCTCCGTGCTTCAGAATTATCTACAGTGCCAGTATTACTTCACATGACCCTAAAAAACTCTGGCCTGTGGCCACATGCCTCTCAAGTGTGTGCTGTATCATGGTGCTTAAACCCAGTTAAATGTATAAATTCTCCCTCAGCAGGAGTGTGGGACAACAGCTAAGAGAAGAAGAGTAGCTGTAGGAAGTTCCTTGTTCTTAGCAGCTGCTGGTATTAACAAGTGCTGTGACCCATACAGATTAGACAGGACAAGAGTTTATCTAAACATCACTGACTCAGGTGAACTGCTGGCAATGCAAGCTGGAGGCCCAACTGCTCTGTCAGTTCACTTTGCCTCAGGTGTGGTGCTGCAGTCAGCAGAAACTCCATCTGTACAACTGTACCTAGTGCTGCTGCTGTGTCCCTCTTCCCTGGACTCGGGTGAAGGTGGTCACAGTTGTCATTACAGCAAGCATTCTACTTTCTTCCTTTCCAGGTCCACGTGGCTTTTGAGGATTTGGAGTTAAAGACACAGGGATGCATATGCTAAGCTCAGGAACTAAGGGAGCAGTAGCACCTTACACAAAATACACCCCACACAAGAAACGCTTGACTCCAAGTCCTTTGTTACTTTGCAGATCTTTTATTTAGATATTTGCTGCTGCAAATAAAAAAAAACCACACACGATTCAACTCAAGTATAAAGCAGCACAGATGTTGTAAATGGAAGAGAAGAGCTGACAACATACTGTATCTCACTTTCTAACAGATTTTCAGGGAAAGGGGGAGATTAGTGGGGAAGGAATGGTCACAGAAATGCTCTCTACTAGAGAGAATACAGCTGTGATATAAATGAGCAGTCCCTTCATCTTTGGAGTCTGAAACTTTAAATCAAACATTTAAAAAAATTAGAAAATTTGTTAGAAAAATAGGTGCAGTAAAATTGTGTATATTGGATTATGTGTACATATAACAATTTTCATTAAGTAAAAAAAAAATGATCTTTACAAATAATGCTTTGTAGCAAATAATCAGCTGCACTGTACCAGACTACAGCGTTGTTTAGGCATTTTTACAGATGCAAGTCTTATTAAATCTGAAAAGTAACAAAATATACAGAGCAAAACTATTTCCCTTTAAACTAGTACTGCATATTTTTTATATATATATATATATAAATACTACCTATACCTGATCAGTAATGAAGCTGGAATGCAAACACAGTAGTGTATTAGATTCCAACAGAGTATTTGCTTAGTTGTTATGTGAGGAGGGTATCAGTGTCCCTGTGCCACACTTCTGAGCCATTGCTGCAGAATTTCTCCAGTTGAGAACAGCAACCAGGAAAAGCCTAATTTCTACACAAAGTAGTTCTGAGGTGGTGTCAGTTCTTGTGTGTGTGTGTGAGGGAACATCAACACCAAAGCAAAAAACAGGGTGCAAAAAACATATGGGCATGGATGTACACACACACATACAGGGGCTTGCATATCCTGAGTTCTATAACCTGTCTTCTCAACTGTTGGACTTCACACTGTAACTAATAATACAAAGACATATGGCACAAAATTCACCCACAGTTGCTTATTTTTAGACCAAGCTGAAGCCAGCACCTGCACAGGACATGCATCTTCAACTAGAAGCATGGCCTGTTAAAATTTGTCTTGCTTAAAGAGAGATGTGACATCAGGCCTTTTGGCACTAAGCAAAGGCTTGAGCAAGTTACCAGGATCAGTGGTACGACGAGTTTTTAACTATACCAAGTTTAATAGAAGGTATGGAATAAAAGGTAGATGCAAACAGCTCTTTTTTTAGAGAACATTTGTTAAATGTCATACAGGGACCCCTCCTCAGGAAAAAAAACCCAACAAAACAACACAACAAAAAAAAAAAAAAAACCCAAAACAAGAACACAGCATTAAGATCTGCCTTTCCCACAGTCCTGCCTTCTTGTTAGAAGCATCATTACATCGCCTCAAACTCATCAATTCTCTGCTTAGTGTTGCCTTGCCGGATCTGCCGCAGCGTCTTGTACTTGTCACGTCCCTGTCGCATGTTCTCCGAGTGGATAATGTCATTGTGGGTCCTCTTATTTTCATCTCTAGCCTGGGCCAGCTCGTCTGTCAGTGCCTGCCATAGAAACAACATTAAGTACAAATTAGACATGAGAAGCTTTCGTGACAGCAGTGTTCTCTGGTGAGAGCTGACAGCTGTTAGATGACCGGGCAGATCAGTGATACGGACACAACGAGCGTTCTCCATAAACACTGTGGATAATGCAAGTAATGTCCAAGTCTGAGCAATGACAATAACCTTTATATACCTTGTCTTTAATGCAACCTGCCTACAGGAGCTGTAAACAAAGAGAAACTCATGCTTTGAGTGCTTAACCAAGGGGTTAAATGATCTGTTCTCCAGGAACAATTTGTTACATTTACTCCCCCTCCTCCAAACATTTTCGTACCCTCAGCTGCCTCTGTACACGTTCATTCTTCTCTGCTTCAGTAATGCGCTTCTCCTCATTGCGGTCGTTCCTGATGCCCTCGCTGGAGAACTCTGCGCTGTAGGCAGAGTACTCGGATCCTTCATCGTGCAGGTTATCGTGGACATGGTAGTTCACTGGCTCATAGACAGGCGGTGGGGGTGGAGGTGGAGCAGTCATTACCAGGTGTAGCTCCTCCTTTGTCTTTACCAGATCCTCCTGGGCTTCCTTGGCCTTTGGGAAAAGAATGAAAAATATTTTCATGTGTTTCTTGCTTTAAACTGGCTTAATGAACACATCAATGCTCATCTTCCCAGTTTTGTCAATCGACAACGAAATGCAATAAAGAGAATTAAATCTCTGCAGCTGACAGTACTGTGTTACAGTCTGTGCAGAACTTTTCTTTTTTGCTAGGGATGCTATCATCATCCACATGTAACGTGCAGGGGATCTCAACAAAGAATCTTCTTCCAATAAAACACAGTCTAGGAAAAATAGTTCTGTGGAATGTTACAGTTATTGGATCCTGTTCCCCACTTGCAGAGCTGTGGGTGTAAATACGGGTTCCACAGAGCAAGAACTTAGATTCCCAAGTTGGCATTTTTAATGCAAATACACACTAGACAGTCAGCTGCTTCAGTGGTTCTGCCTTCCCGGGTGGCCTTCAGGGCACTGGGAGCACCAGGCACGCTGAGCCTCGCACGGTTTATTTTTAGGTTTAGTGCATCAAATTATGCAACTCTCCTGACCCAGGTACCAGGAAGCCACTGACAACAGCACACGCTCCTCAAGACCGGTGGCTGCAGTGTGGCTGCATCTGAGGCATCTCCTCTTGATTGATGTCATGTTGTCAGACATCACATCATGGATTAAATGCATCATTTATATATGCACCCTTCCCCCTCCGAGATGATGAGCACACTTTTAGGATTTATACAGGCTTCCATTTTTAATTTTGACTGAAGGTTCATTGGAAGACAGGTGTTTTGCAGGCATATTGCACATTCATCACCAGCCTGCCCTTCTCTGCTGGTGTACAGATGTTTGTCTCCATGTGTTTAGAGAAGTCATACCAGCCTAAGCACTGCTAAGGAATGCTCTGCTCAAGTGCAGAACTTCAGAACAACTCTGTAAAACAGTGATACTCACTCTGATTTGCCACTCTTCAACCTCGCTCTCTTTACGCCTCCTTGCCTCTTCAAGAAGTGCAATCTTGGCTGTATACTCCGCAAGCTCTGTAGCCTGTTGAATAATATAACTGGAATTATAAGGACTCTTAAAAAAAACCAAACCAAACAAAAAAATCAAACACAACAATGAAACACTGTTGACTGAGAAAAGACCCAAGTGTTACACTTCACTGCAATAAAGATTGAACAGGAAATTAAAAACTGAAAGTAGTTTTTTGCTCATGATAGAAACCAGTGCCCAACGATGCTATCACATGGTCTAGTACTTCACTGCACTATGTTTTCCCCTGGAGAACAAGGCTTTTCCTTACTCAAAGGGCACAGTAACATGCCTGTGTATCTTGTCCTCAAAATGACTGGGTCTTACCAGCTGTTCCTGGCTCTTTATCTGGTCCATAGTTTGTCTCTCCAGCTCTTCCTTGGCCTGCAGAACAGCCAAACGATCAGCTTCCAAGCGTTCTGCTTCCTCCTGGGCTCGTCTCCTTTCCTCCTCCAGCTGAATGGCTCTTTGGATCTGATCCGAGAGCTCTGGAAAAAGACGGATCAATGCAGTTAGTCCACAAGCCTGGTCAAAGCAAAGGGACTACAGAGAGTCTTTTGGGTAACTGCAGAAGTCATGACAAGCCCTTGACTCCAGCCTGCAATATCCCTTCATTATGTACCTCAAAGTAGTTATTTGCATAATACATCAAGTAACTGAATTCAGAAGCAGTCAGCTGCATGTTATAAATAAATCTTCTGCAAGATGTTTGCACTGAAGTCTGTAACCCTGACATGATTCTGCTGCCTTTAATTGGCAGTTTACTGCAGGGACCAGATGTTCCTGTCTCAAATCTGCTCATCTGCACATTGAAACAGAGGATTCTGTTTCACTGGAAAGACTTGTTCCCGAAGTACTTTTTCCGTTAGGAGTTAAGTAAAAAGTACTTGAGAGCTGAACTCTTGCTCACTGCTGGAAGAGGTTAAACTACTAAAACCCTCTGGGCAACAGGGGAAAGCAGAGTTTGTGCACTTCAGTTCCCAAATACCATCAGCAGATGTTATGCTGCTTTCATGCTTTGGATGATCTCAGCAGTGCGTGTGCATGTGCATATTTATCCATACGGACAGGTATTAGTATGCCTTGCCAAGAGATCCCAGTGTCCCCAGATTTGGGCTAGGTGGGGGTCGTGACCCCATATAACCCTTCTATGGAGCACAACACACATGATCTGGTCAGCCAGTACAAGTACTTTACCTTTCTCTGCTTTCTGAGTCTTCACCTCATACTCCTGTAGCCTCACCAGCAGCTCCTCCTTCTCCCTCAACATTTGCTCTTTCTCCCTCTCAATTGTCTCCCTCTTCTTCTTTTCATTTTCTAGTTGTTGCCTGTTAGAAAGAGATTTCATGCTTGAAGCTCACTTTCAGACCTAAACTACAGCAAGGCAAGAAAGTTGGCTGGGCATCTCTCCAGGCAGTTCAGTGGGAAGTGACTGCCACAAAACAAGAGCCAGAAGACAGAAATACATACAGCCTGTTCCTTCATCGCTTCAGAATTTTTCCTCACTTTTGGATACCTCATTTCATAAAAACATTTGTATTTTTCTTGCTTGACACAAAAATTTTGAACATCAAATAGTTACTAGATGCAGAGAGAGAAAACCAGGACTCCGTACTGCACAGCAGAAGAGATTTAACTTTGTTACTTCTGTCATAAGGAAAGTCAAGGAGGTGTAAAAACAAGAGGACTGAGGGAATGAAGACAAACAAGCCAAATACAGGAGAGAAGCAACATGATTTCTTGAGTCATACACAACCTGAAGCCAGTGGCAGAAGCCAAATGGAATTGCTAATCTTTTTTCCTTGCCTGTAAGATGGCTCCTAGTCCCTTCTTCTCTCTTTGCAGTGTACACACTTGCTCCCTGTGAAGTTTTCTCCCTTACTCCCAACCATCCCATGGTCAAACCCATAAATCAGGTCCTAACACTCAAGAGTCAGGAAAACCCCTCTCTAGGTGTGCGCCACCCCACAAGAGCCCACTGTGCCTTTACTCACACATTTCCGTGCAATTCTCAAGACTGCAAACAGGACAGCAGACCACATGGCCACAGGTCCAAGCTAGAAGAGCAATGCTTACAGTCCCACTGCAGGACAGCTCATGGCCCTGCCTCAGTGAAAGCCACGTTGCCTAATGCTGCCCTACAGGTACAGTGGCCTGCTAAACCCTGGCAGTTTGGCATCATTTCTCTCTGCCATCCCATCCCCGCTGTCTGTATTCAAGCTCACCTTTCCAGCTGTTTCTGGTGCTTCTCCTCCCGGGCCTGGGCTTTCATCTGCTGCACCTCAATGGTGTCGGGCTTCCTGCGCCGCATATACAGTTCATGGTTGCCCATGCAGAGCTGCAGGATCCTCTTGTTAATTCTCAGACGAGGGGCGTAAAACACAAAGTCCTGGACGAAAGACATCACACAGTCAGTTTTCCAAGCATGCTTTCTCTTCTCCCAGCCACCTGTGAGACAGATCATCCTGCTGCTAATTCTACTGTAACTGAGACGAATACACAGACCATTTAAATACAGCAGCAGGGACTGCCAATATCATCTGAAGCCAAAACAAATGTTATTTACATTCTCCATTTAAAGTCTATGTAGAATTGACAAGTTACTTTTCCAGAAAAAGTAGAGAAAAATTAACTATCTCCATTCAGAGGAGAGTTTGCAGAGTTTAGAAACGTTGCCAGAGATTCTGAGTTGGCAGGTACCTACCTGGGCAACACATAGACCTCTAGTAGTATTGAGTAATTAGTTCTTAAGTTTGCACAGTTTTGTGACTGAAAGATAAAGCATGAAGCTAAAAATGTATTGCAGAGTATTAAAGTAACGTAGAATTTCCTGTTCCATTTGAATCAATATTCAAGGCACCATCTGTGTTTTTTCAGAGAAAGAGAATAAATACCTTCCAATATCATTCTTTCCTCTCCATGGCATTTCCTAGTTAAGCTGACCTGGGCTGTTACAAGAGTGTCAAATGAAAACTATTTTTTTTGAACCATCAAACACACAGGTTATTTTGAATACTGGGTTGCAGGCAGTAACAAAACACAAGATACTCTAAGATTGCTGTTACCGCAAAAAGAACAGCCCCAAATTCCTTATTATCTGTGTTATAACCAGGCTTTTACAGAAACTATACACCAGACTGGACCTTCTAGAAGAAAATCTGCTAAGAAAGGGATACAGAGGACCAAGTTCATTACCTGCCTGATGATTTTTCTGACTCCACAACCATATGTGTTTACAACGCAGGCAGAACTTACACAGTGAACAAACTCTGCATTTTTCTGACTTTTTTTGTGTATTATATCAATGGCAATCTGGGCAGTGGGCAAGCTGCCACGCTACCACCATAAACCACTATCCATTCCTTAGAATCACTCTCCTGTGGATTTCCTCACTGTTAGCAAGAGGTGGAACTGAGAAGGGGCACACAGAGGCTCTACACTTTTGCATAGCAGCAGCGATCATGTTTTTAATTACCTGAGCTCAGAAGCCACAACTTGTGGCTATCTCTGGAAAAACTAGAAGTCACGCTAGGACCAATGAAAAGCTCTCCAAGTACTATTAAGATGAACACGAATATGCTGCCAAAGACTCATTTTCTTCAATGCCTTTTCTAATTCATATACTGACTGCAGAAGACACAGTCAGCATGGGGTGTTGTGTTCCTCCACTAAATCCCTGCCAGAGCCAATCTGAGCTGCACCACTCTGATACTGCCAGGTATGCCTATAAGCTATTCATCCAACAAACCTCCTATTTCATGTTAAAAACAATTTGTGTGCTTTGTGATTAACAGGTCCTATCTTGAGGTAAGGTTGATCTACCTGGAAGTAAATACTGAGGGCATGGATAGTGGTTGTGTTTGTCATTTAAGGCCATAACCAAGGGACAAAACAGCCACATAAGAACATAAAAGAATCCTCTCCTTTCTTCATCCCCAGCCTCCCCCTGGTCTCGCACAACTGGGAGCATCGCACTTGGTATTTTAAAGATAATGTGCTGAAGATGTTAGAGTGTGTGGGCAGACAGGCCTGAAAATTAAAAAGCTTACTCTGGGCAAGGTGCCACAGGACTCTACGCAGTACATTAGCGTCCATTTAAACACTGACATTTAGAATCCTCCAAATTAAAGGGGAGCTTCCAACTCACATCTTGGGTGAACTGAGTATTTTGCTGCAGTTATAATACTTGCCTTGGTAAAAGGAGACACAGGCGTATGAAAAGATGCAGACAACTTCCTGAATGCTCAGAATTAATGTCCAGATAAATTCTTCTTTCACACATAGCTTTAAACATAACACCACCCAAAGGGACAAGGATAACTGAGACAGAGGGAGGAAACAAAACTGAGGTTTTCAATGTTAACATCTTTCTGCATCAGCCTCTTGCAAGTCTCCCATTTCAAACTCAGTCAGATTTACTGTTGGGGAGGGGATGGAAAGTTGTGATGCATAAATAGGAGATTAATATTTTGTAATGTATGTAACATGTTCAAGAGACTCTTCTGTTGAGAAAAGCATGCCTGACAGAGATCACCTTTCTGTCTCGGTGGAGTTTTGTTGGCTTCCATGAACAGCATCACAGAAAGAAGCTCCTCTCCCCTCAAAACCCAGATTGTTATCTGGAGGAAAGTCCTGCAGCACACTGTGCACTAGCATCCTTTAAATTACTGGGAGGATCTTTCTCTGTTGAAGATATTTATAAGGCATCACCTTTTGCCAAAGCTTATTATTTCTCAGGGCTGTACTTACCCACCAAGGCCAACTACTGGGATGGGGGAAGAGAAGAAAAAAGAGAAGGCCTTTCTCAACTATTCCAATAGTTTCACAAGACTGACAGAATGAGATCCACCTATACCAGTTATTCTACTTTATGTTCTCAACAGGTCAAAGTTGCTAATTCTTCCCCAAAATAACTCCGAAAACGTGTTTCTAAGTATTGAAAAGCAACATTCACAGGTAGCTACATTTCATTTCTCCACAGAAATCATATCCTTGCCATTTACCCTAGTGTTCAAGAAGGTCAATGAACACCATGGTCCTTAACTGGCTTTTACTCTTTCAGTAGTGTAGAAGTGAGCAGTGAGCATTAAGATGGGAAGACACGTGTATCCACGTGGTTTCGCAGTAGCATTTGCACGATTTTTGTGGGTTGGTTTTGTTTGTTTGTTTTTTTTAATGAACAACAACAACAACAACCCACCAGCTTCCATGCACTGGAAGAAATAGGGAGAGGACTAGTTTCAGTATAATCTGGCTACACAGAAGACTCAAAGAACTAGCAAAGAATCTCAGATTTAAGCACAAGGCTACCTAGTTTGCTAGAAAAAAAAGGACTCTGCAGTTGTAAAATCCTTATCTTTCTTCACATTAGACACCACCATAAGCCCTTTATTTATGCTGCCAGAAAAGCAGACACCTCTAAATATACCCTAAATACTAAGGCTCATTTTGCATCTAGAGTATCTGCAGGTTTCTCCCCTCCAAAGACTACTTTATTTTGAGATGAAACAGTATTAGTTTTTTCATATGCAGTATGCAGGAATCCACACTTGATATACTTACTGGTGCTTTCTTGTCAATAGGCTTTATAACAAACTTCTTGTCATTGAAAGAGATGTTTCTGATTTCACTCCAGGGGAACCCAATCTTTGGAGTCAGTCTGGAAAGAAGAGAAATATTTTTAAGCGATGCTGCAATTAACATTTTTTTTCCCCACATTGTTTCTAACACACAGACTCAGTAGGATGCAATACTTCATACAGCTCTACCAACAGAGAGAAGACAGTAGTTGAACCAAAGACCCACAGGGAGTAGGAAATGAAGCCCAGTCACCTCCCTTACACAATCTCTTCTCATTTTGATCAGCTGCCCTTTGGCTATGCAATAGGGATGGTCTCTACCAATGCCACATGCTCAGCTTTACCAAATATCTCCTTTAAGTTAATTTATTTGAAATTAGGGCCTTAAGTCTGCAGTGTACAGACTTTAGGTATATGTGCTGGGCTTCCAGGAGGCTTCTTGTACATCATAGGAGGCATAAGCCAAAGTAACTCAGCCGCTCCCCACACCTTCTAGCACCCACAGAGAAGTCGACCCTGCTGTGTTACAGCCAGCCCAGTTATATCCATGTTGCCTTCCCTTCTGAAGTGCTGGGCAGACACAAACACAACTGGGAGGAGCAGATTTTTTATCATTTGTTTCCTTCCCCAGATTGCAGGCAAAGCTAGTAACAAAAAGCCCTGTTCTTTCCTTCCGTACAAACTGCTCTTTCAGCCCATCCCACTAGTCATGAAGCAGAACTTCACATGTTGGTCGTGCAACAAGATGTGCCACGTGGCTCTCTCCTACTGGAAAGCACCCCTATGAAACAAAGGGGAAGATCCAGACTCCCAGTTCTTCCTCAGTGCTTAGGAGTTCAGGTCTGTTGGTTTGTTTAAAATGACTTTTTTAAGCTTCACTAATAATTTGAGATTTTCCTCTGCTTTAATTTCCCCAGACTCTTGCACATGAAAAGCATCAAGTTATTAATGAGATCAAATGTTTCTGAGCCATTCCACCCTTCCATACCTGCCCAGCTCTGCAGCAAGTTTGAATATCACAAGGATTTGCATATTTGACTGTAACTAATCCCTTTAATTCCCCCCAATCAAATATTTCAATTTTATTTTTAATATCACATTATTATTCATTCATTCTTCTCTTATCAAGGGAGGGTATATTCTCTAGAGACAGCAGTTAATAATTAAGAGTTGTGTCTTATGTGAATGATAATACCAACAAGCAATCTTCCTGTTATTACCTAACCCCTCCAACATACGTCTCTGACACACACTGAAGTGCTGACAATTATTTCCAGTAAATGGTTTGAAGGCACAAGTACTTAATGTTTAGCACTTAGAGAAGCATCTATCATCACAGTGAACCACTCGAGCTCTGTAGGAACCCCTTCCATGGAGCTCATTGGTTAAGGAAAAAGCTGACAATTTTGGAGGAATCTGACTCAGTCTCAGAGATGCAGAGCATGATCTTGCTGCATAAAAAAGCCCACAGCTTGCTTCGTTTAAAATCAGACATCAAGAATAAAATCTATCTTCTTCAGAATTTACCATTCCCTAACTTTAACTCAACTGCAAGTTTATGCAACAGTGTGTGTGTCTGCAACATTAAGTAACAACTGTAAAGAAAGCAATTTTACTAGGCTAAGATTAACTAATTACTTCAGCCTCCATCATATTAGCTTCAGTTTTTCAATCCTAGATAATACAGTATGACAGGCAACTAAAATAATTCACTTATTAATAAAAGTCCTATTGCAGATTCTCCTCTTTAATGCAGAAAAAAAAGCTTGAAAATACCTAGAAGCGGTACACTGACATACACTGCAGTACTGAGGCTTTCATACCTATGGCACAGTCTCATTTTCCTCAGGTTGAGCTTCAACAATGAAATCTTTGCTTTTTCACCTTTGCCCCAGTCACCAAATTTTGCACGTACAATCCAGAGGCGAGGTACACATTACTATTTTTCTAGTCCTCGCATCTGCTCAAAAGACTTAATTATATAGCAGCAAGAGTTACAGCAGAAACAAGCCGTTTATTCCAGCACTCTATTTGTTTTGCAAACACTCCTGATAGCTCTTTACAGTCCATGGCCATATTCTGCCTGCTCCTGCAGCTTGAAAAACCTGTTTGTGTGACCATGGTTACATAGCAAGACCAGTCATTCAAGACTGAAGTATTACATGAGCGAAACTACTTTTCTTTCAAGTGACACTCCTTGTTTTCTGGGTGACAGCACATACTAGCATTGCAGAAAAGACTGCATTTCTCTGCCATCTTAACAGAAGCTCCAGAGAGTTCCAGTTGGTATTTGGGTTGCATTCAAAGCTTTCTGGAGGCAAAGATGTAGAACAGGTGAAATCCCCTCTGTATTACAATGACTGTTATAGATCAGTGACGTGAAACTAAGACTTGGAATGCAGGAGGGGAAAAAAAAAAGAAAAAAGAAAAAGCAGTCTAGACAGCAACCCTTCATCTAAAAAATGTCTATTTTAACTCCCTCTCTATCCTTCAGTTGTGGAGTATTAGAAGACACTAGCAGGCTTAGACACAGCTGTTCTCACCTTTGTTTTATGTTTATTTATAGATGTAGTCTATCATTTCCCACCTACTATCCAATTAATAATGGCTCTACCTTTACCAGAAGGGCTGATTAAAACTATGAGTACCTCAGCAAGACCTCGTTCATGGTAACTATATAGGTTAACTCCTCCCTGGGTTTTGGGTGTTATCTCGCTTTGGTTTCACGTCCGCCCCATAATCTTTCTCAAAACCAGGCAGTTGTACACACATCTGTCATTAACTTCAGTATAGGAATGGCCTTAGATGTCCAACCACTCTGCAGGTATGTTTGCCTCTCGAGTTTCTTGTATCACATGCACTGCTGGCATACCCAGAAACCTGACTCAAGGAAAAGCTCGGTAAACTCTTCAGTTCAGGGTTCAGCTCTACGAGTGCGCACGATTTACCAGATGGCATCGTGCAACTGGCATCTCTCTCTATACAGCAGGCAGCATTAGCAGGTCAGGCTACAAAGGTCAGGAAAACCATGAAAGCATAAATTATGTGAAAGCTCATTTGCTAGCACAGCTTCACCTACTGATCCAAAACTGGAACACAAGCAAGATCTAAACTTTGCCCTGACCCTCTAAATGAGAAATGTCCCTTGGCTCCCACACCAGCCCTCAGCTCTGGGAGATCGGAGGTTGGGGGGTGGGGGAAGCCTTACTTATCATCCTTTTCATAGATGTTGAGCCCCAAGGCATCAACCCCCAGCCAAAGTTCAGTTCCTTTCTTATTCTTGATTTCAAAGTAGTTGATTCCATACATCTCCAGGTCTTGAGCAATCTTCAGGTATTCCAGCATGGCATTCTCTCTGGTCGAGACAAGAAGGAAGGCAGATGTTAGCTTCTCATTTATCTGGCTATCTCAGAAAACACAAAGTCCTCAAGAGAAACAAGTAACTTTTCCTAAACCAACACATAAAAACACAAGAGTTAAAACCGAACATTCAGTATTTGGGATCCACTTTAGGAGTTCTCCCATTTACCAAACCCTAGTATTTTGGACAGAAAATTAAGCAACATTCAGTTCTTCCAGCACTCGTCCTTGTCTCAAGGTACAGTCGGTGGGAAAGGTATAGTACCTGAACTTTCCCCATCTGCCAACGCAACTGCTTCAATGAACTTAAGGTTAGAAGCACACCTGTACTTTTTTCCCCACTCAAAGTCATCACTGATACACTGTGCCTAGGTCCAGGATTTTCAAGAAGCCATCCAAGAGACTGTTCTCAGCACAAGTGTGAAAACCCTATTGAGTTCTACCATGTGATTTGATGTTGGACTAGAAAGTATACACCAAGAGTTCCCACACACAGGCAATTCTTGGAGTCTATTTCAAAAGCACGTTGTAGAACCACAAGCTTAAGGTAATCAACCAGGGACAAAGTGACTGGCCTAGGGACCAACACAAAACACTTACTTGAGCATGCCACTGTGTTCAGCATGCCACACCTGGATTCGTTCTTCCCACTGCTCTCTGGAGAGTTTATGTTGGTCCATCACCCTGCACAAAGAAAGATGTATTAGCAAGATCAGACTTTGTGTTCTGCAATATCCATTGATGCTGATCTTTGCTATAGTCTTGCTGAAAAATCAGTCCCACCCATGAAGCCTTACCGAAACCAAGAGGAAGATCCTACTCAGCCCAAAGATGTACTCAGTGAAGCAGAGCAATCCAGAAAGAACAAAAAAACCTCTGAAAAGCCTTTCTGTTCACTGACCAGAGACATGAGAGGAATAAGCAGAACACTGCAGAAGAATCACATATGTGCTGCTGACACCAGAGGGTTAAAGCAAAGAAAAAGTTGGTATCATTCTTGGAATTAGACGCTGTGCAGAGCGCTATCAGGAAGTGTAAACAGAAGCCATTTGTCTGATAACATACACTTATCCTGTGTGGGGATAGACTACATAGCCTCAAGACATGCTTTCCAGATACAGGATTTTTAGGACTGCACATTAGGATTAAGGACACACAGCCCAAACTTCTCCAGGGATGATACATTCATGACTGAAGGCTGCTCTTTTCTTCTTAAAGAGGAGACATTGATATTGCCAGTTACCAGTAAGGCAGCAGAAAAGCTGAATTCAAAAGCATACTTCCTCTCCCTAACCAACCCAAGGAGAAAGCACACAAACATACCCTGACAGATGGACATAAAAGAATAAAAATACCCAAATGCATACAGTTCAATTAAATAAAAATAAAAGAAACCATGCTTTCAGTGAAACTCTTTATATTTCACTAGAATGCAAACTCTTGACTTAAAAAAGCCAACCAAGCAAACAAACCACCACCAACAAAAAGCACAAAAAAAAAAAAAATGCAAGACTGCATCAACCAACTCCTTCACCTTTGGGGGATCAGACGCTCTGAATTGAGATATCCAGGCTTGTGCACATCCTTGTTGTAATCTCCAAATTTGGCCTGCACAGCATAGGAGCCAAGAAGTACTGCAGTTTCAGGAGGACAGTAGATCTCATCGCTGAGGATCCCTTCCTTCACCTGCAGGAAGAAGAGCTTCTGCGTGATGTCCTGGATCAGCTCTTCAGACACATCCTCTGGGAAGAACTTGGCACGGAATTTGAACTGAAGGGGATTCTCCTTTCTGATTTCTTGAGCAGAAACCTGAGGACAGGGGTGACAACACAGCTGAGCAGGGTTGCAAACAACAGCATAAACTGCTTTTACACAGAAAAAGGGACTTGGAGGATTTGCCTTAAAAGGCAAGTGACTGGCAACTTATTATTGGCAGTCCTGCTGCTTAATGGTATAAGAACACAAGGGAGACACATCATGTTTTCCAACTGAGCCAGTAAAATTCTGCTTGCACAGCAAACTTTGGTCACTGGAGAATGATTTACCATGCTGTATCAGATGGCAAACCCATCCGATATCGTATGCATGTGACAAAGAGCAGCCCCCTGTCATTAAACAGCTATGTCACTGACTGCTCCGTTAAGAAAAACTGTTCATACCCTCGTAAGAATTGCAAGTCCACAAACAAGAGCAAATCAGTGGCACTTGTTCTCTGTTACAACTGCCCAGCCCTGAAGTGACCTATCGTTCTGATTAGTGCAACAACTGATCCTGCACAAGCAGAGGCTAAAACCATGGCTAGCCAAGATGTTCCTCCAGATACAGCAAGAATGGCTGCTTCTACCCAACAAAGCACCATATCAAGCTGCTGCACTGTACACCTGACAAATGCTAAAAGGCTTTCTACAATTCACACAGAGAGAAAGGACAAACTTCCACCATGCTACACCTCACCCAAACAGTAAACATGGAGGTCACAAAGTCTTCTCTAAAGAGAATCCTGGAGTTATGAGAATTAAGGAACAAGCAACAACAGGTACAAGGTCTATAAAGTTGCAGCCAGTAACACATCAGGAATCATATAAGCATTAACCTTTGTTCAGAAATGAGCCCAAAGTCTGTTACCTTTTTATCAAGCTTTAGCCAAGTCTGGAATCCTTTGTTGTCCACATACTGAAGACCAAAGTACCACACTTCTCGCAAACCGATGGTTTTAACTACCTGCAACAGAAAGGTCAAAAATAATAAAAAGAAAAAAGGTATTGTAGACAACAGTTCACTTGAAGTTCAGGTATCCTCTCAAGTCTTGTATCACCTGCACATGCAGGCAACAGCCTAAACCTCCTCATCTGGCATCTCTTAAATTCATCTTATAGACAGAGACATACAGCTGCTGTAGTAGATAACAGCAGTGGCATAGGCTAAGATACTTGTCCCACTCAGTTCCTAGGAGAAGACAGTTCTGGGGAAACCAGGAGACACAAATGAGGCAAGTGACAGGCCACCAACCACTAGACCGGTACAGTGGCAGCAGGTAGGGCTTCTGCTTGATGGTATCTGCTGGCCCTTCTTAAAACTGTACTTGGTGAAGAAGACAAGTTAATTCTCTCACCAAAGCTTATAATAAGATGGTCTGTAATGGTGTTAGCACTAACTACAACTAGTTAGCAGTCCTAATAGCTGATGTGATCTTGTCTGCCAGTCAACAAAGATTATTTGGCTGGAGGAAGCAACTGAGGGATGCTTCACAGTTTTGAGAATTAAACAAGCTGTAAGTGTTCTCAACCAAGTGTATCCTTTTGTTAAACTCACACAAAGGCTGGTGAGACAGGACAAAATATATTGATGGCCCAACATTAGGACAAATTTCATTTCATATATTGTAAACACTAACCAGATCAAAGATCATCCAGAAACACCATCCGTTGACTGGATGGCACCCTCACTATGAAAATAGTCCTGTGAGGACATGTTCCTTTTATCAGCAGAGGAGACAGCCCAAAAAGTTCCTGACCTCCGCCTACCACTTGTTCTTATAGCCCAGCAGTTTGCTGCCAGCTCATCTATGTGTAAAGCTGTGCTCTAGACAGACCTGAGATCTGGAAAGATCTACTACACATACATCTGGATCAATTCCTTAATATTATTTGCAGAGTAGCCCCTCAAAATGTGATGTAGGCATCACCATAGGGAGCTGAACCAAGTGGAAGGCAAGAGCTTTTTAAAACTACATTGCAAGTTAGGAAAGTGTGACAGACTTGAGAGGGTGTAGTTACATGTGCTTCAACAGGGCTGAGATCTCAACCAAGGATCTGTTTCACCCTCCCCATTAATAGTATTGCTGGAGAGCAGACTTGAGAGAGATAATGACTCTAGGACACTTAATTAGTTTTTGCTGTAGTTTCCCTTAAAATTAGCTTCCTGGGGTTGGTAAGGAAGATAGGAAAAATGCACCATCCTGATCAGCACTTTGAGAATTATTGTTTGTGTGACATTGTTGAATAACAGGCAATCAACAAGGTTTACTGATATAAACAGACCAGGAAAAATGCCACTAAGCAAATATAATTTTTAGGGATAAAGATGTCAGTGCCTACTAGTTGAGGAAATGGGATAGCTTCGTAGTTAGACACTGTGAGGCGTATTCAGTAGGCTACAGTTGAAACATACTTATGCCCCTTCAGCAGGGCCATAAGTAACTAGTTATAACTAATTAGAGTTTTCGTTAAAAAAACCCCTCACCCAACAAACAAAAACCCCCAAACCCCATAACTTTTTTAAAAAAGAGCTGGGGTCTGAAAATACTTCAGCCTTTACTTGATTAAAATTCTTTTTCCTTCCTCCCCCAAAGCGACTTGTTTCACCACAGAACAGACAAGTTTTCCGATGTATTTTTAGAAGGGCCAAAAGTGGGCTTTACTCAATCTAGCAGAAAAGCAAGGGTATGCTGAGCACAGTACTTCCTGCTGCACAAAAAGTGTTGCAACTTTGTTAAAATAAAGAGTTGCATAAATCAACCAGTTATCACGTCATTAGCTCCGAATGTCTCTTACAACAGAAAAAAGTACGCTTTTTCTATAAATCAAGTTAGAAAGTTCTTCCCAAAACCTAAAGCCAAAGAAGGAGAAAGTATTAAGCTAAACTTCAATTTGACCATTTGAGTTCCAATACAAAGAACAAAGCCATGAATGTTTTAGCCTGTATTCTGGGAAATGGTTTATAAGCTTCCTTCATAGCAAAATAGGGAAGAACTCAGAACCAAGACATTATATTCAAGATGGGAAACATCCCTCCCTGCTCCCCCTCAAATGCATGAAGCAGCAAATCTTAAATCTGCCCATTCTACCCAGAAATGCATTCACACCCAGAAACTGCCAGTGGCATGTTCTCCTCCATTTGAATTTCTTTTCCTCATGGCCAGGATGGCACAGGACTGCCTGGGAGGTACTCCAGCCAGCTGCAGAGCCCACTGCCTTGGTTCTCAGGACACCTCAGACCATTGCGGCAAAAACCCTGCACAGGTCTGGCTTGAGTGGAGCTGAGCTCAGTATTCACAGGTTTCCACTATTCTCCCCTTCCTATAAAAGGGAGCTATAACTCACCTTACGTGCAGGATACACTTATGCTAGCAAAGCCTAAAGCACAAGGGCACTGCCAGAATAGTTTTGCTAGTTAACAGCAGGCCAAGAAATCATCTTGTGGTTTTTAAAAATAGCCTGCTTTTCCCCTCACAGTGGTTCTGCAGTTCAAGTTGGGCCACTCCTCATACCTGCAAAAACCTGTTGCCTTCATAGGCTTTATCTGAGTTTGAACTCCACCCAAGATAAGGGCCTAGTAAAAGGCTGTCACAACAGAAGTGAAGAGAGAATGTCAGAATAGTTGCAGCTAAACAGATGGTCTTCACCTTCCTGGTTTTGTGCTGCACACTTCTACCTTAGTCTTCTCTTGATATGCAGAAGTGCACCCCAACAAGGTATGGACTATGGGTAAGGATTTCCAGTTGTGGGTTTTAAACCTGAGCCATAGGCTGTAAGGAGCAAGTAAATCTCCATGAGGTGATAGCCTATCGCAATAGCACACTACATGCTGCAACAAGCAGAGTCTTCTGAAGTCCAGAACTACCTAGACAACAAGCTGGAAGTATCTTGGATCTGAAGCATCCTGCCTTTTTCTATGTTTTCAGGATTTTGTGCCTCTCAGCTGGAAGTCAAGAAAATAGCTTTTCTTCTGGGAGAGAAAAAAGTCCTTGTTGAATCCTTGTCATAAGGAGCATAGGACATACTTATGCTGTTTGATCTAAGGCATTGCTTTTAAAAACCTGGCTTTTAGTAATGTGGATTTTTGTACCCCCAGAGATGAAACCACAGTCCTCTGTTTTGAGTTAGCATGGAGGGGGCTGGGAGAGGAAATTACCCTGATGCAAGGGTGGTCACCAGTGAATGGAAGGTTCAAATGCCAGTTCCATAAAAATGCAGGCATTACATAGGCACTTCACCAAATTTCCAATCAATGAACACTTGATGTTTATCCTACATCAGTAACAATCAAAAGGAATTAAAGTTAGATTTAACGATAAACACAATTTTGTACTGTGGAGTTCTGCAGTGATTATAATTTGGTTTCCTCCTTTCACTCTCTCCAAGAAAACACTAAATGTTTTTGTTTGTTTGTTTTTAGGAAGTACTTCTCACTGGAAATGTGCACAGCTGCCATAAGGCCTAGCAAGTTCTAGTTAACTCACTGAAATGAGAAATTGTACCAACAGGAACTTAGAAGGAACGGACATTATTTAGCCAGTTCTGCCCACTTGAGTTAAAGCGCAACCACCCTTTGCCATCAAGGCTAGCAGGGGGCAAGGGGAGAAGTGCAAAGGAACTGCTGTAACACTTTGTAAGAAGCTTAATACGTGTAACTGAATTCTGGGTAGAACAGTTCTTAGTTTTCAGGTTTCAAGCAGGAATATCTAGAAGCTGGCTTTTTTTTTTTTTCCCCAAATTCCAGAACAGTAAGTTATATTTTTCTGCTTAAAACTAAGCCTTGTTTCAGTTCTATAAGAGCAACCTACTTAAGAAAAGAATCACAAAGTTTTACAAAGTGCTCTTTGTTTATGTAGTTGTCTTTATCTGACCTTTGTAGGTCCATCTCCAAACAGACCTGTATATGTTAAAGCAACAGCAGGAAGAATAACAGTGAGGGAGAAGAGTCTTAGCTACTCATGACCTCCACTTCCCTGGGAATCCCTGGACAAGTCTCAGCTCCATCCTGGTGCACAGTGGCTTTTTACAAGGTGTATTGTTATAGTTGCTGCATGGGGATCACAAACTCTTCTGGTTTTACAGTAGTTTGCCAAACTTGAACACCTGTGGCAAGTGGCTACCTCCAACTCAGCTCCTGAAAGAATGCAGCTATGCCCACACCTTTGTTAGCCATATGAAGACCTGATTCTGAAGAGTTTTATGTGCAGGGACAACATTTCAACTTTATTATTTAAGAAATAAGTAAGAGCTAAGTTGTATTTCAGAGCAAGAGGTACAATTTTACACACTGTCTACGCTGTCTAGATGTTTTAGATCCCTTGCGACACTCCATCACCCAGCATCACTAGGAAGACAGGTTTCACTGGAACATAACATACCTGCAAGGATTTTTGCTTTTTTTCTTTTATTGTGATGGAATTTAGAGATCTTAGTTTGGACCAGGGCCCTCTGATTAGGAGGTGGGGAGAAGAGAGAAAGAATGGTAGGTTTGGAATTCGGTCTTAAGAAAACACTATAGCCTGAAATGTGCTCCACACTTAAACAAGAGCCCATACCAACCCTTCACTGACCTGGTCAAACAGCTGTTTGCCTGTAGTGTTTGGCTGGATGGCAAACTCCAGCTCTGCATCCATAGTAACAACTCGAACGTTGATCTAAGGAGAAAAACAAAAAGCATTGTTTTAAGATGTATGGAAAGCTATTTCTTGGTGTTAACACAGCACTTTGTGCACAATACAGTCTCCACGCTTTGATGCACTACCATGACCTCTACAATATACACACTTAAGCCCCAATTAGATTTGCGTTATCACATCAGGAAACTTAATTGGGGCACTGACTTTGCTGTCTTATCCAGATTGCTCTGCAGGTTTTCCTACTCAACACAGGACTGGACTGAGCTTCTGGTTAAACAAGAAGGCGTTTTAGAGTTGACCATTTCCAGGCCTAAAACCCCCTGGAATAAGGGCTCCTGAGAGTGCACAGCATAGCTGCCTGCAGACCATCCCTTGGATTACAAAAGGCCCTAATAACTAAATTAAATTTAAGACTTATAATTTAACTTCCATTTATATTAGTGCTGGAATTAATCTGAGGTTTTAAAGGCAAAAGGCTGCAGATTATTCTTAGGAAGCAATCAGCATTAACCTGATAAATGTTCATTCTTCCCCTCATAAAAACCTACTAAGCACATAAAAAGAGCAGTGATGGGTACTGAATGATATGACAGGGCAAGAGTCCCCTAAGCTATTACTGTTAGTGAAGAAACAACATAACCAGATTTACCACAATGGCAGTAGACTGAAAGGCAGAGGTTAGTACTGTAGGCAGAAGGCAAGAGTGTTTAATGACTAGAAAAAAGTCTATTAGCAGTTAATCAGGATACAAAAGCAGCAACTAAGCTTGCAGGGACTAGCATAAGGATCGGGAAAAGGGCAAATCAGGAGAGGATTACATCCCAACTGTTCCAGCTACAAGAGACTACATTGCTTGCAATACTATGCTATGTCTCAAAAAACCACCAACAACACCAAAACAAACTAAAAAAAAAAAAAAACAAACCCAACAAAAACAAACCAAACTAGGAAGATTGTGTAGTATAGTTCTACTAACAAGTTAGGTTTGTAGGTTGGTATTTTAAAGGAATGAGTGAAAATGTAAATACAAGGCCAGACAACAGGTAAGCTACACACACATAAGATTTAATGACTTTTTCCCAACATCTTAAAAATGTCATATTACAGAAAGCCAGAGCTAACAGAGAGAGCCTGCTACAGCTGCAGCACTGGTGCCCAGCGTGGAGGGACACATCTGAAGAAATGAGAAGAAGGGGAATAGAATCTCTCACTACAAAACCCTGACGCAGTTTCCAGCCATTTAATTATGTGTATTTAAACTCTAGGATAAATGTCAGGTAAAATAATATTATAGTTAACACAGAACTGTGAAGAAAACAAGTTGCCTCAGCTAGTTTTAGTCAAATATATAAGAACTTTTTGCATTCTTTTTTAGTGAGACATGAAGGTATCCAGTGTCTTTTAGCCTTTGTAAATTGCTTCTCCCGCCCTCTCCCAGATGACGGAGGGCCCTCCTACAGAAAGATGACTGAAGGCAATTTCCAAATCATGGAACCCCAGAACTGAACCAGAGGAGGTGACTGCTTAGGTGCCCGGTCACTTTCAAGCTGTATTTCTAAAGCAGTGTCCTTTAAATTAGGATTTTAAAAAAAATATCCTCTAAAAGCAACAAGAGCAAGCAAGCAAGAAAGGTTTTCTAAGAGCTCCTTTTCCCAGCTGTAGCATTCGGGGTCCATATTGAAGCATGTAAGTATGCTTAAGGCTCCTTCCTGGGCCTTTAAGAACCAAAGGTTTCCCAAACAGTGTTTCCACCATAGCTTGCAAGGGAGGGGAAATTCAGATATTAAATTCTCAGGAACAGCAAGACTGCAATTCAAAGATGTGACCTTAAAAAGCTCCTGTTGCTTAATCCCTCTCAACAATAAATCCCTAATCATATTCTAATCCTTTTCTACCCCTTCCAAGAAAACATATGTTCGTAACCACAGTTTTGTATTGTGCAAGTTATTTGTATTTCTGGCTGAAACACCACAGTAGGTGTAAAATAAGTACCACTTTACAAGCTAAAGAAGTTGAAAGGATGTGCTTCCCACTGCTTACCAGGAAACCTGCATGATGTCAGCTGAGCACAGAATTCCAGTCAGTACCAGTATGCCCATCTTTTATTCTGCCTCCTTACTAGTTATTTGCAAGTAAAAAAAAGAAAAATAAAGAAAAAAAAAAAGGTAAACTCCCTAGTCTAGGGGAGTACCCTGTATTACTCCAACCCTGAAAGACCCTTCTGGATACAGTCCTCTTCCTAAAGGATCAGCTACATAGTGAGCTATTTAGTGCTAAAGCCATCTACTTGCTACAACTTTTACAAATTATTTTGGCATTAAGACAAAAAATGGAAGTCATCTGCTTTCCACTTCAATCATTTAAAGCCATAAGCATGCAGGAACACGACTACTTGGTTATCCAAAAGCTTTCAAAGGTGCATGGTTGTGATAGTTTCACAAGGTTAATTTCTGTGTTCTCAAAGGGCTGAACAACCAGCAGGATACAGAGGAACTCCCTGGTGTGCCCTCAAACCAGCAGCTAGCCACATGACAGGGAGAGTAGGAAGGGACAAGGCCTCTACTACCAGCTGTCATTTCAATGAGTTGATGACTGCCTGGGAAAATCCCTTGAGACTCGTTCCTGCCATATTAAGTCCTCTTGTTTCTCATCTCCAAACCTTAGCCTTGATTTGGAGAACATAATGGTATTAACAGTGTTTCGAAATGGATGTCCTCCAACCACTCCACAAAAGCTTTTAGCCACAGAGAAGCTGGTAGTGGATCAGGCAAACAGAGCTTAACCCACTTGAAACCCTGGTTTAGACAGTCTGAAGAAACCTCGATATCTGTGAAGCTGGGAGAAGGTAAATTTTGCATTCAGCTCAGATTACATTAAAATCCCCATGGTGCCAAGAGGATTAAATCAAAACCCAAGGTGCTAACCAATTCAAGATATTGTTGGGGAGGAAAAGAGGGAACAGCTCAGACTAATTTCTATCAGCAACAAAAAGAGCAAGACACAGTTAAGACAACTTTCACAACTGAAGGCCTGCTTACCCTTTGCAGGCAAGGCAGGTCATTTGTCAGATCCTGGCAGTATCCCAGGACAAAACTGAAGCCATAACCAAAAAGAATGTTTTTTATTATTTCAGAACACAGGTGCTTGGACGGGGGAGTAGAGTACATGGCTGTTATCCATGAAAGAAGAGTATTTAAATAGACATAGCATGCCAAAAACCCTAGACAGTAAGATGTAACTTCCTCCTCAATAGGCTGATGCCGTAACACTTTATGATTATACTTTTATGTCCGAGACTAACAAAATAAATGACAAATAGGGACTTAGAAGGTTTGCTTGTGTATATAACAGAACACAAGGTTTTCATCTTCCCCTGTCCTAGGATGCATAAAATTGCTAACAAATTGGATCCAGAGGGGAAACACCATGCTGTTGAAAAGGCAATGCTATCTGCATTAAAAGGAAAAAAAGCTCTATGAATTGTAAGAGACAACAGAAACTGAAGACCTTACCACACAGAATGACTGAACACTAATTCCATTATTTCAGACTGTTCAGGGTGGACTGTAACATATTACCTACATTTCCAACTGGGAAAAGAGAGTGGAAGTAAAATGAAAGATGAACTGCAGAGAACTTCACAATATAGATTAAATAATTCTAACACTATGGAAAGTTCTTGTACTAGAAGTTACAGTAGTTAGAATGGGTTCTTCCTTGCTTTAGCTATGGCCTCAAGTAATGCATTTTTTCTTTTTTGTTTTGTTTTGTTTTTGTTAAGACAAGATATCTTCTAATGCTGAGTCAGTAGATCAATCCATGGGACACTGCAGCCTTTCAGAGACTGGGCACCACATAGTACCTAACTGGGAAAATTAAAGTGCCATATGAAAAACATTCAGAAAACGTTGTCTCTTAAGGAGGCAACACATTGCCAACCAGCTTATCTTTTGCATGCAAGATCCAAGATCTAGACAGGAACCGAAGACAACTGCTTCTTCATTCCTTCCCTCTCATAAATGCAGTTTCCAGGTGTGTTGCATACTATGCAGGCACAAGTAGTTTTCCTTCTGAAGTCTGATTCTTAAGCTACAGCGTGTTGGTCCAGAATCTGTCCCTAGTTACAGGCAACTTGCTATCTTTGAAGTTGACTATCCATCTCCTGATATTTAACTACTCCACTGTAAAACATAAGGTGGAACAGGAAAAAGCCCACAGCTCTCACACACAGTAAGCCATCACGGATATTTTGCATCCTAATGCATGAAATCCAATAACCCTTAAGTTCACTTGCATAATAAAACAGTTCAGTGAAACCATGAAGTTGTGCAAGTTATTTAAAATACCACCCAATTTATTTCCAGTGGATCCATAAGATAAAGGGCAGTAAATACCAACTTTAACCCATATACACAAGACAAACTAGTACTTAACGTGTTGCATATTATCATTATGCAGCTCTAAATGCCTCAGACAATGCTCAGGAATGTTTTCTTCCTCTTTCCAAGGAAGGATAAAGACCAGAGGCTCTTAAATAGCAGGTTTACAAGTGCAAATGCTAGTGAGGTACCTTTTCAAGTGGTGGCAATTAGCACTATGATAATGGAGAAACCTAGATAGGCATGCCTTCTTTCTTCAGTCACTGGATGTCTGGAGTCCCAGGCAAGCAGCTAGTACACGTAAGCAGATCAACCACATAGCACAGGAGGGATAAGGGGTTTTGAAGTGCTGCACCTGCACAGCACATACTGTGAAAAACCACACACAGGCCTGTTAAGGTTTCTTGCACGTACTCACACTGTTTGCACAGCACATGGACATGCTTGTGCTGAAGGAATGTGGCAGTCTTAACAACAAATAAGAGAAAACAGTGGTATTAAGAGTACTATTAAAAAAGCAGCAGTATTAAGCTTGTGTTCTCAATTCCGCAGGTCTGCACACTATTTCTATTCTTCCACCACACAAACAGTAACAACTATTGTAATAAATAACAGACAAGCATTTTCCCCTCA